AACTTGGTACAGGAGGAGGTTAATGTCTAGAACTTTGTAGAATAAAGACAGAAATAATTTCTGACCAGTGGAAAAGATAACCCCAAAGATTACAGTGTATGGTCCTGTTGTAAACTAAACTTTTTTTTTTTTTTTTTTAATCTAAGCAAGCAATCTGTGAAACAGTCTATGCATCTAGCTTGTCAAATGCTTTTTGGACTGTTTTACTAGTTCCCACACTAATGAATTGAAGAAAATCTTCAACACACATTCATTTTGTATTTGCATGAGTAGTAATTTTACCTTTTTGAAAATTCTATTTTAACAAGCACCACTTTTAAAATTGTTCCTATAGGGGATCATGTCTTATGCATTCAAAATATATAATCATTTAAATTTTCAATCACTTAAGTCTGACTAGATTTTCAAAATATACTTGTAGAAGGGATACTAAACTGGAAAATATGGAATAGACTATGCTTAAGTCTATTATGCAAGAATTAGCTATACTGTGTATTTCTGAACCATTATTATGCCATCAAAGGTCCCATTCATGGCTAAAAATGTAGGGATAATTTTCTCTGGAAATAGGGGGATTAGACTGATAAGAAAACAAAGCTAAAGAATAAGTCAATAAAAGTGGAAGAGTTTGGAACAGTGGTTCCTTTTCTACTCTGTTTGCATATTAGAACTGTCTGGACTATTTTAAAACGTCAGAGGCTTAGTAAATTAAATCTGAATATCCCGGAGCAAACCACATATGAGTATTTTTTACAAATATTAATCTCTTTCTGCAGCCACTTTTCTTGGGTGTTGTGAACTCCCTCCAGCTATTTCTCTCTGCATTCAAATAGTAATAGAAAATAATGAACATAATTACAGCTGATAAATGTACAAAGAGTGCCCTTATTACCCCTACATTAATGAAAAAGGAGAATAGTGTCAATAAAACTACATAGAAGAGTAAGTATGTAATCTGCATTTCAATGCTGGGTTCAGAGCTGCTTGAGAAAAAATGGAGCCTACAAAGTTAGCTAAAAGCTGTGCCAAATGAAGATCAAACTTGTATAAAGATCTTTAAAAATCTAACATAAATCAATGAAGGTAACCTACTGAATGGGAGAAGAAATTTGCAAATAATATATCTGATAAAGGGTTAGTATCCAAAGTATATAATGAACTCATACAATTCAACACCAAAAAACCAAATAATCCAATTAAAAAATGGGCAGAAGACACGAACAGACATTTTTTCAAAGAAGACATCCAGATGGCCAACAGACATGTGAAAAGATGCTCAACATCACTGATCAGAGAAATGCAAATCAAAACTACAATGAGACATCACCTCATACTTGTCAAAATGGCTAACATCAAAAACACACGAAACAAGTGTTGGAGAGGATGTAGAGAAAAAGGAACCCTCCTACACTGTTGGTGGGAATGCAAACTGGTACAGCCCCTGTGGAAAACAGTAGAGATTCCTCCAAAACCTAAAAATAGAACTACCCTCCAATCCACCAATCACACTACTAGGTATTTACCCCAAAAATTCAAAAACGCTAATTCAAAGGGATACATGTGCCCCTATATTTATAGCAGCATTATTTACAATAGCCAAATTATGGAAGCAACCCAAGTGTCCATCAATAGATGAATGGATAAAGATGTGATATATACATACACAAAGGAATATTATTCAGCCATAAAAAAAAATGAAATCTTGCTATTTAGGAGGACATGGATGGAGCTAGAGAGTGTAATGGTAAGCAAAATAAGTCAGAGAAAGCCAAATACCGTATGATTTCACTCATATGTAATTTAAGAAAAACAAACACCAAAAAAAAAAAAAAAGAAAAAGAAAGAGACACATGAAGAAACAGACTCTTAACTATAGAGAACCGATTGTTTCCACAGGGGAGGTAGGTGGAGGAATGGATGAAATAGGTGATAGGGATTAAAGAGTACATTTACCCTGATGAGCACTGAGTAACGCAAAGAATTGTGGAATCACTATAGTATACACCTGGAACTAATAACACTGTCAACAATAGTGGAATTAAAATTAAAAACTTAATAAAAAATATTTTTAAAAATCTAACATAAATCAGTGGGAAAACAGACCTTGCTATGTAAACCTCATCTGATACAACTACCAGCATGGGCACAAGCCACTGTATAAAAAGCAAGAGAAATATCAAAATGTGAACCTATGCTTCAACTCAAGAACCAAACAAAAATGAAGTTAAAAAACACAAAACTGGCTTTAATATATTTTTGGGTGTCATCCTTGCACAGGGGCCATGCTAATCTTCTCTGTAGCATTCCAATTTTAGTATATGTGCTGCCAAAGCGAGCACAGCTTTACAATATTTTTATTCTGGAATTTAAACAGAAGAAAAATTTAAAACTTCTAACTTGCTGACTCCACTTTCTTTCTTCCCATTCAATCTTGCTTCCATCCCTGCTTTTAATCAAGTTTCCAATGATCATACTGTTAGTTAGATTTGGCCATCACCAGCCACCCAGTCAATTAAAAACCCATTAATTATCCTTCACGCCTCCCTTTCCCTCACCATCTTTATTCAATGCAACAGCAGGTCTTCTCAACTGTTCCTCCAAAATATCAACCTAATAACCTTTATATTCTTTTCCAGCTTTTCTAATACCATTCCAGTCTAAGATACTAACATATCTGGTCTGGACTACTGCCACCACCTCTTAACCTGTTTCCCTGCTTGCATTCAGGACCCCTCCATAGTGCATGATACCACTACAGTCAGGGTAGTAAAGACATTATAATATGCCAATGCCCTCTTTAGAAGCCCCCCCCCCCCCGTGCTTCCCTATCAGAGCCTTCAAGGCACTGCAGCATCTAGCTCCTGCCTACTTTCCCAACATCTTCCCTTATGGAGCTCCACCACTCTGGCCCTCATTCATGGCAAATATTTAAGCATTTGCTACTTCTGACTGCCTGGCATACTTTTTCCCTACCTCTTCACATAACTACTTCATCTTGTCCTTCAGATTCCAATTCAAATACTTCCTCATGGATCTGTTCACATACCACTCTGAGGTAGTCCGCTCTTTACCACCTACCACATGACACTGCTTATTTTCTTCATAATATTTATCATAATCTGGCAGAATGTATATGGGGGCATAGAGGTGAGCAGTCTTTCTTCTACCATTGTATGCCTGTGACATGTAACGGGCACGTATTTGTTTAATCAAGAAATACTCCAACAGAGGCATGGTCTGTAACCATGCAAATGTATTACAGAATTCTATTCCAGACTGGACTCTACCAGCAATTAGCTGCATAGCCTTGGGCATACCACAAGATTTGAGTGGGTTAAGAGTAACTGGACAGTAAAAAAGTGGATGGGGCACCTGGGTGGCTGAGTTGGTTGAGCGGCTGTCTTTGGCTTGGGTCATGATCCCAGGGTCCTGGATGGAGCCCCACGTCTGGCTCCCAGAACCTGCCTCTCCCTCTCCCTCTGCTGCTCCCCCTGGCTTGTGCTGTCAAATAAATAAAATCTTAAAAAAAAAAAAAAAAAAGTGGAGATGGCGTACAGGATTTCTTTTTCCTTAATTTCCTACTGGATCTAAATTCAAGAATATAGATGTTTGAAAGCATTTGACCTCTCGGCCTCCGTTTCCTCATTTGTAGGAGACTGCTTTGAATACCACTTTCAGCTAAGAAATACTAGAACTAAGGCACACCTGGGTGGCTCAGATGCTTGAGCTTCGGATTCTTAATCTCAGTTCAGGTATCAATCTCAAGAGTTGTGAGTTCAAGCCCCACAATGGGCTCCATGCTGGGGATGCAGCTATTATAACAGGCCCTAATCTACTTTCTAACCTAATTTTCCTTAGGCACCCCTTATTTCCGCCCTGCAACCAAACATTACACTTTACCGCCTGTACATTTCCTCATTCTGCCACCTCTTCAACTCCAACCACTGGAAGTTTCCCTTGAAAGCCCAGATCAATTGTTAACTGCCTCATAAAGTCTAATTCAACCACCTGGCCCAGTACTGGTATGATTAGGTGTTCCAGAAATTCTTTTATGCTTCATAGTAGTCCCTGATCCTCTCTCCATCTGTTTCTTCATCCATAAAAGGGAGATAATACTATCTACCATACTGCACACTATTGTTGGACAACTGTGAATACTTAGCTTGATAATAAAGCGTTCAATAATTAGTATTATTTGTTGGCTACACACACTTTCCGCTCTCCTTGAGAGTCACCAAAATGTCTTCCATTTCCGAATCTCCAGAAGTCTGAAGCTATTACTACTCCTTCCAATGCCTCAAGTTTTCATATTCATAAAATTCATATTAATAAAATGAAGGGAGTGGACTAGACCAGTTACTATTCCCTTCAAAATGAAGTTCCCTATATTTACATGAATACCCTTTAAAGAGGACTCAGGTGAGCTTCCCGCAACATAAATAGCTTAAAGCAAGGACACAGGCGCAGGTGAGCTGCTTTAAGGACGGGAATGCGAGGAACCTGAAACCACTGCTGCAAATGGAAGTGGGGTGTTAACGCTAAAGTTAAAATAATGTTTATCAAAACCCTGGAGATCCTTTCTCAAGAAACTGAATCTTGCCACAGTGATGGCTCTTTTGGATTTTCGCTTTTAGGTTAGATTACAGATTATTTGAAGGAATCAGTGCCCCAGAAGGGCGGAAAAGATGACGAAGAGACCAGTCGCGTTAAGAAGGAAATGTAAGCCACGAATGGACGCGAGTTTACACAGCAAACCCAACGCCTTTCACCTAACCCTAACCCCAAGAAGCGGGAAGAAGACCGAAGACTGCTGGGAAGAAGTTGCGGCCGCCAGAAACCCTAAGGCGGCAGGCCGGCGGGGCGTGAGCTGACGTCTGCGGAAGCGGTGCACCTCAGCGCTCGGCCCCTTTTCCAGGCCAGCCCCCAACCGCAGAGCCGCGGTTACGGACCCCGGCTGTAACTCCTCAGCAACCCCCGCGTCCCGCATTCCGCCCCCGTACCTGCGGGGTCGAGCGCCATCTCGGCGGGCGGAGAGAAAGCAGCGCCTGGCCGCTCCCGGGCGGGGGCAGAGGAGGGGAGGAGCCTGGGCTGGGCGGCACGTGCGGCCGCCGGGAGCTTCCCGCGGGAGGAAGAGGAGGAGGCTGTGGAGGAGGAGCGCCGTGCCCTCCACAGAGCCCGGCAGGCCGCTTTCCTTCCTTCTTATTTCCCTAGTCACTACTTCCGCCGCCCATTGCGCCTGCGCCCTCCTGGCCCCGCCCCGAAGCCTGTAATTGATGTGGAACAGACAGCTCCGAGGGAATGACCGGGAAGGGGGGCGTGGCTTCGCGTGCCTTGGAGGCGGGACTGCCTCCGACGCGGGCAGCCTGGCTTGGGAAGGAGCGTGAGCACCGGGTTGAAGACTGGGGTAAGCGGAGACCAGAGCAGAAGCTGTGGGCCTTTGGGAGTGCGCCTCCCGTGGTGACTAGGTTCACCGCCAAGCACCTCCCTCCACGTCCGCCTTCGGAGAAAGGAATGAATCATCCTGTTCCTTTATTTTTTTTCTTCGTTAACGTTCATCCATTCATAAATGTCTATTTTATGCCTGTCGGGTTCCAGCCACGGGTTCGGAATACGAGGGACAGATAACTGAATAAAAATAAGGTTCCTATTCTCGAGGAGTATCGGGTTGGCTGGGGAGTCAGATACCAGCAACACGCTGTTAAATGGGATGAACTCCACACGTGCGAGATATAGACAGCTTGTTTTACTATAGAAGTGGTATAGTTTGTGCAGTATCATTATTTGCCCCACGCATCAGCAGCCTGTGGTTCCCCTGGAGGGGAAATTTAAAAATGGGCGCTAGAAAATATCCTTAGGGCGTACAGCCTGATTTGGGTGATGTTAAAAATCCCGACTCTTGTCAATTAAAGCTGTTTTTGAGAGAAATGAAGGAAGGCGATAGCTATGCTCCTGAAGAGCCCCAACTGCCCTCTTGTTAAAAACTTTCTGGCGGCAGTGGTGCTCGTTTCCACTCACCAACCAGCCTTCAGAAATGCCTTCTTGTCATACCCACGTTTAGCTAGTTTGAGCCTCTGAAGAGTGAGGTGCAGCCGGGACAGATGGGACAGATGTTAGAAAAACAAGGAGCAGCTGCTTCTTCCCTGGGAGGGATTTAGAGCTTTCAAATGATCCCCTCCCCACCTACCTGCAGTCCCTCCTCCCCTGCTGCTGCTTCAGCCTGGTCAGTTGGCAGAAAAAGCAGCCGCAGTTGAGCAGGGCTGGGAAAGTGGGTCTCTGCTCAGCAGGTCTTCCGTTTAAGGGCCTATTTGGGCATAACGGCCCTTATTACAGCTGTAGGTTGAGATGCCAAGGTGAAGAATTAATGTTTCACTCAGCGAGGCAGGAAAGCAGGTCTGTTTTCTTGTGTGTTTTATACATGTGTTTTGAAACATACCAGATTCATTCTGGTGCCCCTTTTCTTTTTCTGGAGGTGGAGGATTTCGTTTAGAAAATAAATCTTTTTGAGGATATGAGGTGCAGTATAAAAACATAAGCCAGGCCCTCAAACTGAGGTAATCAAACTAAATCTTCCTAGATGTAAAAGGCATCACAGAGAGCTTCAGTCAGCGACCTAAGTACTAAGTACCTCTACCTGAATCCTACATTACAACCTATTAGCATCACAAATTCTGACGTTTCTCTAGACTTTTGTTTCTAATTTGTAAAATCATTGTGAGGAGTAAATGTGATATCATTTAACTGTTTCAGTCATTGAAAAACCATTTCTATCACTTAAACCACTACTATTTATTTTTTTTAAATCTAAATCAGCTCACTTAAAGGAAAACGCACATGGGTATTAACCACTTTAGCCTTATCCTATGCAATAATATCTGTAAAAACATGGGTTTTCCGTGTCCCATAAAATGGATTGCTGGATGTTAGGTCCGTTATTAAACGAAACGAGACTGAGACAAAGTGAAAGTTATTTAAAGCTTTATTTTATGATAAGTATTAGAAGTCAGACTGATTGATCAGGGGAACAAGACTGAAACAAGGTGAAAGTTATGCAAAGCTCTATTCTATGCTAAGCATTAAAAGTCAGACTGACCGGCCAGGGCCGTCTCTGAAGAGAGCGACCACCCCCAGCTTACAGGCTCAAGAATTGACTGACTGACCGGCCAGGGCCGCCTCCGAAGAGAGCGACTCCTCCCCATTTTACAGACTACCTTTTATAGAGCAAAAGTCTGGCCACACATAGGTGGCCAATGAGATTGTAGTCATGTTAGGTCACACGCAGGTGGCCAATTGAATTACAATTTACCCTATAGTAGCTGTTTGACTTAACCTATTACTCCGGTCAGAATTGGTGCTCAAGATTGGAGCCCAAACAGCGGGGTTTTACATTCTTTGGTGGTTAGGGGAAAAGTATGTGTGTTTCTTACTGATTGGATGTCTCTACCTGGCCCGACTCATCCTTGTATTCTGGGCTCTGTTATCAAGAACTGGCCAACCTGGCCTTGTATTCTGGGCTCTGTTATTAGGAACTAGCTGACCATATATTTTACTGGTTTCCCAGACTTGCTTCTAAGTAAGTTTCTCTGGGGGGAGGAGAGCAGGGTCAGTTTAAGTTTTACTGCACAAACAACAAAATGGCTTTTAACCAAGATGGAGTCACTCTGGCTAAATAGGTCCTTACACTGGTCATATCACACTATGAGAAGCACTAGCACCTCAGTACCTGGTACCTAACAGGGTACCCGTCTCCTGTCTTATATTAAATCAGATTATTTGGGGGCAAAGTCTTTATAATGTACCCGGGAAAGATAAGTCGATTATTAAAAGTTAAACATAGAAATGTAATTGGTAATTTAAAACAGAAGAAATTTCCTAAGATATCACATTATGAATGGACAATTCTTTGAGCAGTAACTGTAGTGGGAACATAAAGAGGAAGAGAGCACAATGTCCCGGAAATGAAGAAATATGTATTATCCAAGCATGACCTCTAGGGCTCAAACAATATCTGGTACCTAATGGCCCCACAGTAGCCCTTCACAAAGGACTGAATGTCAGGGTGGATGGTTAGAAAGGACTTCAAAGATGAGGTAGAAATTATGGCTGGCCACGAAAGATGGGTAGCATGTGTTAGCAGAGAAGAATGCATGTCACACTAGGAGAAAAGTAAACAAAAGGGTCTGGGAGGGGGCACCTGGGTGGCTCAGTCGGTTAAGCATCTACCTTGGGCTCAGGTCACAATCTCAGGGTCCTGGGATCGATCAAGCCCCGTGTTGGGCTCCCTGCTCAGTGGGGAGTCTGCTTCTCCCTTTCCCTCTGCCTCCTCCTCCTGCACATGCTCTATCTCTGTCAAATACATAAATAAAATCTTAAAAAAAAAAAAAGTACCTAGGATTTGAGATATTCTTGAAGGACAAATGAGGCATGGAAAGGACAGAAGGTAAGCAATAAAAACATATGTGCAAAAGCTAGGTAGGAAGCAGGGATGTGTGACAGGCATGGTGGAGGGCAATGCCTGAAACCATTCATCTGAGGATTTGGGAAGCTAGGATAGTTATAAATGAGATTGAAAATGTTAGAAGAGGTTAGATTCCCAAAGCCTTAAACATTAGGCTGAGGAGTGTTTGAATTTGTTGCTATAAGCAGTCAGGGGCTGTTGAAGGTTAACAAGTAGAAAAATGGCCTTGTGGTCAAAGTGATGTCTTCTCAAGATTTTTTGTAGGCTAAATATAGGTGGCAAGGAGGGAGGCAGGGGCTAAGCGGAAGGGTAAGGGACTATTGCAGTTCAGGCAGGATCTGAAAAGAGCCTGAATGGGTATATGTGGCAATATAAAAGAAAGAACCGTTGTGAATGTTCCTGGAAAGGAAGAATCCATTCTTCGTAACTTACTTAGGAGACTAGATCAAGGAGTCAAGAAGGATCTCTAGGTGATTCTGTTCCTTGGCAAATGTACACAGACAAATGAGAAAATCATGGTGACGTACCTATTCATGCTTCAAATGATCTGCCATTGATCGTCGTTACTGGGGAGCAACACTGAGACAGGGGAACCAGCTAGGAGGAAATTGCAGTGACCCAAGGGAGGAAGGACAGCTACTGATGTGTGGCAAAGCATGCAAAAGCAAAGAGAAATGAACTACTTAGTATGTAGACTAGACATCAATGCACACCCACATATACATATCTCTTAGTTGGATGTTTAAGGAATTTGCAAGTATACATAAATACCTTACTTGTTTATTGCATCAATTCTGACTAGATCTAGCATACTTTTTTGCTGTATGTTGATAATCAGTTAATTATTTCTAATGTTTGAGAAAGTCAGCCCCTGCTTGCTTCCAACTCTGCCCAATGTCAGAATTGAAGACTTTTCACCAATAGCTCTGCTCTGCCCCTGTCTTTGAGCCAGTGAGAATTACATTAGGAAGAATACTAGAAGTTCCATCCCTACCAGTACGTGAAATTTGGAACTAGCTCTTGGCTAGAAGATCCCTATCCATTGGGCCCTATCCATTGGGTCTGCTTTCTGAGCTGTATGATTCAGCCCCCTGGTCCCCCAGGGCCTCCCCCTTCTCCCATTTGAATGGGCTTAGGTCCAGGTTGACACTTAAATTAGTTTGTTAGGGCTGCCATTACAAAGAACCACAGAATGGGTGGCTTAAACAACAGCAACCTACCTTTTTCACAACTGGGGGCTAAAGGTCCAAGATCAAGATATCTGTTGGTTTGGTTTATTCTGAGACCTCTCTTCCTGGCTTACAGATGGCCATTTTCTCCCTGTCTGTTCACATACATAGTCTTCAGGATGTGGGTATCTGTGTCCAAATTCCCTTTCTTTTTAAAATAAGGAAACCAGTCATATTGGATTAGGGCCTGCCTGATGACCTCATTTTAACTTAATTATCTCTTTAAAGACCCTATCACCAAATACAATCACCTTCTCAGGTGCTGGGCTCGGGACTTCAGCAAAAGAATTTTGGGGGATGCAGTTCAGCCCATTACAACAGTCTAGTTCCTTACAAGGACCAGAACCCTTCCTGAATCCCAAATCACTTGGCTAGAGCACTGATAACTTGCCTAGCTTTGGCCTCCACCCAGAGCAATATACTTTGTTCTTGTCTTTCTGGTAGTTGAGTAGATTCTGCCTCACAGTGGCTCAGTCCTCCTAGCCACTTCAGTCCTGTCTGTCCCCCACTGCCC